GAAAGAGACTGACCCGCTGACTGCATTCTGCAGCTTTGTCTGAACCTGGCAAAGGTCGGTCCCCAACCTGAGCTGTGCCAGGGAGCGAGATGGAGAGGGCTTAGAGAATGGAAGGGGCATAGCCCCCCATGGGCATTTTCATCTGCCTCCTACCCTCAAGGCCCATTTCCCACTTACATCCCTTCTGGGGCCAACCTGCCTCATTTGCATATGTGACAGCACCACTTTCTGCAAACTAGACAGTGACCTTGAACTGGGCTACTGCAGCCTTTCCACCCTCTCCACCCTCCACCCATGACCAGGCAGAAGTCAGCATCGCCTGGAATAATTCCAGACCTCAGGTTGGTGGGGAAAGCCCTAACACAACCCTAACCCAGCACACCTGACTCTTGGAGGCCTAAGCCTCCCATAGCACCAGAGCCAGTGTAGATTTTTATAATTAACTCATTTCGCCCGCTGTGGCTCCGATGCGATAGAGGCCTTGAAGGATGCACGCTGCACAGACAGAAAAGATGTGGGAGAGGCGGCGGAGCATCCAGCTGGAGGACGCACTGGAGGACCTGCTGCCTTGGGTCTCAAGGAAAGCCTTGGACCGCATCTCTGCCTTCAGCTTTAATTAACCCCCGGATTAATGAGCGAGGCTTGGTTGAGCCGGGCCAGCTGCGGCGGCCGGCAGAAGCCAGTGGCCCAGGGACCAGCAGGCAGGCTACCCCTTCTAGCTTTGTGATTTGATGAATGTGCCGGGAGAGTTCGGATGTACCAATTGCTCCGCGGTTCGGGAGCCTTGGCCAGTTCAACTGTAGTTTTGCGTGTGGGCAGCAAATTGCCGATGAATTAAACCTGGTTAAATGCGACTGCCCAACGCCTTGGGCTGCGAGTCCCTTCTAGTCTTCCCACCCCAGTCCCAGCCTCTCCTGGAGAGCAGCTCTCACTGGGACTGGATTTAAATGTGAAGCTTTGCACCCGAGCCTCCCGGCGGCCCCGGGGACCCAGGTCGAGAGCTACGTTTTTGTTGGAGCCTGGTTAAGGAAGGGGAGTCTGAGCTGCGTGTACATGTACGGAGGGGTTCCTTAAAGGCGAACGGAGCCACTGTGGTGAGCCAGAAGACTGGACACTTAGATCGCCTGAGTCGCCAGAGTCCTTGCCATGAATACTCACCCCTACGTTCACTGTGGGTCTTGGGGAGCAGGACACTGGGAATGAGAATTTTACTAATGGTGCTTGGCAGTTCCTCCCTGAGCTGAATCAGGGTCGACTGCACGGTAGGAAGAGGGGTTGGTGCTTGCCTCTGCGCTGAAACCTGGGGATGAAACAGCCTGTTTCGATGGGGCTAAATTGGTCTGGGAGAAATGCATGTCTGAAAGAAGGAAACCCTCACCCCATCTTCACTTCCCATCTGCTGCCCTGTGGCCTCTGCTCCCAGCGACCAGCTTACTGTCCAGAAAGGGCAGCAAGCAGAGCTCTCGGCCAGAAATTCGTATGCTGGGAAAGGATGCGGAGAGGCTGAGACCTCCTTTCTGGGGTTCCTCTTCTAGGAAATTGGAATGATCTGGGAGGGGAAAAGAGATTAGGGAGAAGGCTCTAACCCCAAAAAAGCTAGTGATTTTCTGCAAAACCCAGCTCGGTGTCCTTTGCACCAACAATAGCGGCTGAGCACCGAGGCCTGGAGCTCCTGGGCGGAGACTTCGCTGCCGGCTCAGTGTTCCCATTGAAATCAACAGCAAGATAAAAGTCATACTCTGTTTATTTGTATGATCAAAGTAACCCTCAAATAAAATTTTCAAAAAAGTAAAATTTCAGTGACTCTCATTAATAAATCTTGAGAGGAGAAATAAAATGTTGGAGATACTGTGACATGCAATTTGCAGCTAAGGGATGCTCCTCTGCAGCCTGGCAGTCCCTTATCAGTTAGGCACAAAAAGACCAATCCAAACCGAATCGCCGGCTTATTTCTTGGCGCCCAAACATTCGCTGACTGGAGATGACTGCCCAGGGCTGGCATCCCATCACTTGTCTTCAGTTTAGGCTTAAGGACGCAGCGCAGGGCAGACTCCTGTGGCGAGAGGGGTCGGGTTGGGCAGCTTGGCCGCTGGGCTGGAGAAGGGGAACCGGCCAAGCGGGGGCAAGAGGCGGGGGCGGAGGTCTAGCTGCTCCGGGCAGGGCGGCGCCCGCGGGGACACATTTCTGTCGGAGTGAGCAGCTATAGTTTGGGATATGAAATCGCCCGGGGAGCGGAGGAATTCGAAGAATCTGCGTTTCTCTCTGCCTTGTCCTGCAGAGGAGAGAGGGGAGGGAGAAAGAAAAAGAAAAGGAGAAAAAAAAAAAGAGGGAGATGAGAATCTTCTCTGCTTGGGTCTGCTTTTGCTTCCTTTCAGTCTTAGATATTTAACTTTCACCTGCATGACTTTGGTGTTCTCTCAGACTCTCTTGGCTTTTTCAAATTTCTCTAAATCTTCCAATATTTTTTCATATTTAAATGTTCGCCAAACTATTTATCCAACTTTGTATTATTTAAGCCATGCACCCTACAGAAGCTCAAAATAATCACACAGAGATCCAAGTATTTTCCCTACCAGACCCCAATAGGACATACCTAGTTCGGGGAGTTACATTTTTGTTTCTCCTTTTAATCTGCTTGACTGTGTTCTGTGGACCTAGTTGGGATTGTGGTGCTGCAGATGTTGGTTGATTGATCTCATCAATGGCCAGTATTAGGTACTCAGCCTTCTTTGGAAGGCTCTTCTGAGGTTGCATCATAAATATAATCTTAAACTGCCAATAAGAAAAATCCCTGGGGGTTCTTCCCCTCATTCCCAGCCCACCTCAGGAGTCAACCTACTGCTGGTTGCTTCACTGCTATCTGATGGTTTCAGCTGCAGGTTGGGGAGGTGTGGGGTTGTGGGTGTCTCAAGGGCAGTAGAAATCAGGCGCCTCTCAGCCAGTCCAGCTCTGCTGGGGGCCCAGAGTCTCTTACTGCGAAGACTATGGAAGCCCTTCAGAAGCTCTTCAGGCCCTCAGAGGTCCCAGCAGAAGCGCAGTTTGAGCCCCCAGAGTTTCAAGAGCAGGCATGCAGGTCCATACCCAGCTAGGTGCCTCCTTTTCCCGGTCCTCTGCCTGCCTTCCTCATCCTTCCCGTAAGGGTGAGTAGAGGTGTGAGGCTGGGATGGCTTCTGGCTCCCAGAAGAGACTTGGCATTATCAATTCTTCCTGAGTCCTTCTTAGAGAAGAGGACCCCAAATGTCTTTCCAAAGTCCTGTGGAGAAAGAGCCTATGAAGGTGCGGGCAGCAAAATCAGGACTGAGAGAGACAGCAGCAGGGAAACCTGTCCTTCCCCCTTCTTCTCCTCTACTGTAAATAAACCCCGAGCCAAAGGGCTCATCCGTCTCCTTAAACAGCCAGTAAACTTTATATGACACAATATCTAATAGTAATTTATTGGGGAGATATTGTAAATTCCAACGGTTTTAGTTAATAAAGAAGCTAATTAAAGAGGGAAGGGCTGTGCTTGGCCAGCTGTTGGCGATAAGATAATACATCTGGGGGGGTGCAGGGTGCAGGGGTGTGTGTGCGGGGTGTTTTTGGTGTGGCTTTTTCCCTTTTGCCCCGTGTTGGGCGATTGCTTCACTCCGTGTTAGGTTTTATATGATTAAAAAAAATAAAACAGATTCCAGAGAATAAACCTGCCCCCTCCTTCCGTCCCCCACCCCCAGGCGGGATGGGAAAGGGGGAAGTTGGAGTTGGTGCGGGGTGTGTGTGCATGGGGTGGGGGGGGATGGCTGTCCCCACCCCTCCCGCTGGCGGAGGCGCCCACGTGAGCAGGGCGGCCAATGGGTGGCCGGTGCAGGGTTAACTATGTTTAATGTCAGATAGCAATAAAGAAGAAGGTCGGGCCCCGCGGAAATGGGCGAGCATAATCTCTTGAATCCCGGGTTTGTGGGGCCGCTGGTGAATATCCACACGGGAGACACCTTCTACTTCCCCAACTTCCGCGCTTCTGGGGCTCAGCTGCCCGGGCTGCCTTCGCTGTCCTACCCACGCCGCGACAACGTGTGCTCGCTGCCCTGGCCGTCGGCGGAGCCTTGCAATGGCTACCCGCAGCCCTATCTGGGCAGCCCCGTGTCGGTCGTCCGGGCTGCCCTGCGCTGTCCTACCCACGCCGCGACAACGTGTGCTCGCTGCCCTGGCCGTCGGCGGAGCCTTGCAATGGCTACCCGCAGCCCTATCTGGGCAGCCCCGTGTCGCTCAACCCGCCCTTCGGCCGCACGTGCGAGCTGGCGCGCGCGGAGGACAGCAAGGGGTACTA